ATAATAAAGTATGATGTATTTGATTTGGAGCAGAATACCTGCCAAAATCTACTGACATCATGAGGAACACCTGTTCATGTTAATGAGAGCTGTGGAGTGAAGCAGCTCTAGGGGGGGTTCAGCGATGTTCTCCCCTAGAAAAATTTAGTAAAATATCTACTCAATACTCTGCAGAAACCAGAGAGCGTTGACAGAGAGGAGAAGGTAGAAATGACTCAGCCTGGAACTGAAAATATGGATGGAGGACAACAGAGCTGCTTCATGGAAGATTATTTTTTATTATTATAACAAAGTCATAATAATAAATAATCTCGTATGGTCCTAATTTTCTGTCATAGGATACCGGAGCTAAACCCAAATTATTAAAGTTTTCTTTTATTTATTTATTTATTTGTGTGTAATGTTTTAACTGTGGTTATTCTTACAGTAAAAAGATGAGTACATATACGTCCCCACGCAATTTTAGTCTGTCATGAAACTGATCACTGTGGTAACGGGGTAGCACGTGGTCACACGAACTCACGTGAAGCTGACGGTAGACCATCTCATTTCACAGCAGATTTGAGCAGCCAACCCGGCCCTGGGAGGATGTAGCCCACAGCCACAGATCTTCTTTCACAAACTCACCAGGTGGTGGCAAGATCACAGATGACTTCATAGTCAACATGTGATTGGGTGTAAGTGGTTATGGTCTAGTGGAATCATTGAGTAGGTGAGCTGTCAGAGGCCTACTGTTTGATTGCCATGATTTCATACAGATAAGTGCGTAAAGAAGAGCTGTCTAATGCTTTGGACGACCCAATATAGAAGTCAACACACTTCTTACTGTCCTGATTTACCCATGTGGCTGGCAGACGCTGGGTTCATGACAAATTCACAGCCTAGTTGTTTCAGGCATTCTTGGTCCATTTCCTTCACAGCTTCCAAAAACTCACGCTTTGCTCCAACAAGGTTGGTGCCCTGGTCTGATCGTAACGTCAAACATGTCCATGTAAGGCAATGAAGGCACGAAGCGCATTAATAAATCATTGGTGCCCATATCCAGCAGTCAGTGCGAGGGGCTGTGTACACCCTGGACAGGTTACAAGTCCATCACAGGGACACAGAGGCAAACAAGACAGACATTCATTCACTCTCTCACTCACAGCTAGGAACAAGTTACCAATTAACCTGTGTTTTTTTAACCATGTTTTTGATCTGTGGGAGAAAGCCATTGTGTCCAGAGAGAACGCTTTTCTCACTAGTCGTTATTTCCTGGCATGTTATCGGTCGTTAGAAGGAGAAAGATATCGGTTATAGGTTCTTGAAAACGTTATTGTGCATCCCTAAAAAAATACCACAGGACTCACAAGTCTTTCTGGACCTCTGGGTCATCGTAACGACGTCCAATCAGCCTTTTGGTGGCGTAAAGTGTGTTCTTAGGGTTGGTGACAGCCTGGCGTTTAGCTGGCATCCCCACCAGACGCTCGCCATCTGCTGTGAATGCCACAACTGAAGGAGTTGTCCTGGCTCCTTCTGCATTTTCCAGCACCTGGAAGAGTGAGAAAGTCAAATTACTCAAACTAAATTTCAGGATGCAGGTAATAGATGCAACAACTATCAACTATCTACATTATACACAACTGTTTGAGTTCAAAAGCAGATACTGCTTCCAAAATTCAGACTGAAACAAGGTCAAGTTAAAACTCTCAATCAGGGTTCGACAAACAACACTGCTAATCTGCCTGGGGCACATAAAGTGCATATTTGGTCCAGTTGATGTGTCTCAATCCTTGCCTGAATGGGAATGTAAATTATCTCAGGGTTTCAGAGGTGTATAGTAACTAATCACATTTACTTCATTACAGTACTTAAAGAGGAACTCACCCCAAAATCAACTTTTTTTTGCAGTTAATCTAAATTGAGCCCCAAGGGTAATACTTTTACATTTGACTAAAATTCAACATTTTGGTCTAAAATTGTTTAAATCTACAATATTGGGTCTAAAAACGTCTTTGTGGTGCTCTCTTTGGGTTTAACTATGACATTCAGATGAAAAAAAAGACAGATGTCAGCTGGATGCTCGTGATCAGCTCTTCAAACTGTTCCTGCTACTGGAGGAGTTAATTCAGTTTGTTTTACAACCCCTGGCAAAAAGTATGGAATCACCAGTCTTGGATGAGCATTAATTCAGACATTTCTTTCTGTAAAACAAACTCAGATCAAAAACATGATACAATAATAAGGTCATTCCAAAGTGCAACTTGTTGGCTTTCAGGAACACTCAAAGAAATGAAGAGAAAACATTGTGGAAGTCAGTGAATGTTACTTTTATTGACCAAGCACAGGGAAAAAAATATGAAATCACTCAATTCTGAGGAAGAAAGTATGGAATCATGAAAAACAGATTAAATACCATTCAAAATACATCACTAGTATTTAGTTGCACCACCTTTGGCTTTAATAACGACTTGCAGTCTCTGAGGCATGGACTTGAGGAGTGACAAACAGTATTCTTCATCAATTTGGTGCCAACTCTGATAGCAGTACCCAGATCAGCTTTGCAGGTCGGAGCTTCTTGTGGACCTTTTTTTTAAATTTCCACCACAGGTTTTCAACTGGGTTGAGATCTGGACTATTTGCAGGCCATGACATGGACTGAACGTGTCTTTCTCCAAGGAATGCCTTCACTGTTTTTGCCCTAAGGCACGATGCATTGTCATCTTGGAAAATGATTTCATCACCTCCAAACATCTGTTCAATTGAAGGGATGAGAAAACTGTCCAACATGTCAATGTAAACTTGTGCATTGATAGAAGAATGAAGCACAGTCATCTCCCCAGTGCCTTTGCCTGACATGCAGCCCCATATCATCAAGGACTGTGGAAATGTGGTTGTTTTCTTCAGGCAGTCCTCTTCATAAATCTCACTGGAACGGCACCAAATAAAGGTTCCAGCATCATCACCTTGTCCAATGCAGATTCTTGACTCATCACTGAAGATAACTTTCATCCAGTCATCCACAGTCCATGRTTGCCTCTCCTTAGCCCATTGCAGTCTTGTTCTTTTTTGTTTAGGTGTCAATGATGGTTTTCTTTCAGCTTTCCTGTATTGAAATCCCATTTCCTTTAGGCCATTTCTTATGGTTCGGTCACATACATTGGCTCCAGCTTCCTCCCATTTATGCTTCATCTGTTTAGTTGCACTTTTTCAGTTTTCAAGACAAATGGCCTTAAGTTGTTTGTCTTGACGCTTTGATGTCTTTCTTGGTCTACCAGTACGCTTGGCTTTAACAATGATGCTGTTTGTATTTGGTCCATATCTTGGATACAGCTGACTGTGAACAGCCCACATCTTTAGCAACCATGCATGAAGAGTTACCTTTTTCAAGAAGTTTCACAATCTTCTCTTTTGTTTCAAGAGACATTTCTCTTGTCGGAGCCATGGTTCTTGCCACTCCACTTCGTCCAGCAGCCCTCCAAGGTGTCATGACTGCAGGTGTTTTCAACTGCAGACTAACGAGCAGATCTAATCTGAGGCAGGTGTCCATTTAGGGAAAGAAAATTGACTCGGTGTGTCCTTATTTTCTACCTCCAATTTGAGTGATTTCATATTTTTTTCCTGTGCTTGGTCAATAAAAGTAACATTCACTGACTTGCACAATGTTTTCTCTTCATTTCTTTGAGTGTTCCTGAAAGTCAACAAGTTGCACTTTGGAATGACCTTATTATTGTATCATGTTTTTGATCTGAGTTTGTTTTACAGAATGAAATGTCTGAATTAATGCTCATCCAAGACTGGTGATTCCATACTTTTTGTATCACTGGATTTATTGCACAATCTCGCATTTCCTACACAAGCTTCAGCGGGTTCTTGGCTGACCCAACCGGACCGCAGGTGAGACGCCTGTAGGATCGGGGTAGGAAACGCAGCACAGGAAAGAAGCGGGAGGAAAGCTGATTTTTATCAGAAACATAAGAAAAAAGCTGCAGAAATCAAAGGAAATCAGTTTTCACCAACATAAACATGACGAGGGGATGTGCACAGGACATGTCCTGCTTTTTCTCTAAAGTGAAGGTAGGGTAATGTTTTTACTATTTATAGTTGTATTTTTAAACCTTTTAACAAGAATGTTAAATCTTTAGCTTTTGTAAAGTCAGGTTGTATCTTTATTAGTAGGTACAGGTAATCATTGTTAAAAAATAAAGCTTAGACAGCAGTGGAACTCAGTGATGTAATGATTGAAAACACAACTTCTACCTGCTGAATAGTTTGTTATTAACGTGTTTAGACTAAGTGTTATTTGTTATCATTTGTTTGCATATAAAATTTCAGTTATGTTTCTTGCACTCTTTTAAAGGTGGTGGGGTCAATTTCCCATGTTGAGAATCCTGCCAGAGACTTAAAAGATATATCCAAACAGAGATGTGTTTTTTGTTGTTTCATTGCTTTATATTGTTTGTACTAAACAACACAAAGTTTCCAGAAGTAACTGTTTTATTAGGTTTTATATCTCAGGAAGTCTACCCCCGCACCCCAGAGCAGGGGGAAGTGGGGTAGACTGACTGTGCGAGCCCCCTCTCCAAAACTCCTACCTAGAAGCCTGATTGGCCATGATGCCTTAGATTATCTCTTAAATTCTGTCCAACTGCTTGTTGTGTGTCGGTGTTCCTCACCTTTGCCTGTTTTCCCTCCATGACAGCAACACATGAGTTAGTCGTTCCCAGGTCGATGCCAATAACTGCACCCTTGATGGCTTCAGATCTGCAACAGGCACACTTTTTACACAACTGAGAAAAGTGAAGCTTACATCACAGGATGACATATGGCATCTAATCAAGGTATCTGCTGGCTACTATACATTAAATTTATTTATTTTTGCCATGAGACAATAGCCATGTTTCAATCAACGTTTTATTTTTTTGTGTGCATTTTGAAGTATCCATTGGAAAAGGTGGATGAAAATGGCAAACATCGCAAAAACTTATTCTACTTTGTTAAAACATTTTTACGCTCCCTAGAGATGGTATTTGGAATTTCCGAAAAAGAGTGAATGTGCAAAAGGAGAGATGGAAACACATTCACCAGATAAGTTTTGACATAGGAATGGGTACCTTTGAATCAACTCGGTACCAATATCCGGTACCTGGGAATCGGTACCGGTACTTAATGGTGCCAATTTTTGGTACTTTGTGTGTGTTGTTTTTTTAATAATAAACTTTTTTTTATTTAACATATTTCTCAATATATAAAATTTAACAAATA